CTGAAGTTTTGATGTCGATTATGACACCATCACTGCTTCTATTGGTAGCTAAAGGTAATAGTCCCGAACTGAAATCGGCCACAAATTCGGCCAAAACTTGTGACTTAATCGTAGTCCTAGGTTTATACTCTATGCCATATTCACTAATTTCGACTGTCCATTTGGCCAGCCTACCTAAAAGTTCTGGTTTATGAAGAATATTCCGCAGGGAAAAGTGGTCACCAGGGCTATCAGATGACATTGGAAATAAGGCATAAGCTTTTGAGCGGCGACTACGAGAGCTAAGGCTAATTTTTCCAGATGTGGGTAGCGAGAATCTGCTCCCATAAAAATTTTACTAACATAATAGATAGGAGATTGCGTACCTTTGTCCTCACGTACTTAAACGGCATATACCGCTATCTCCGAGGTCGCTAAGTAGATAAGCAATTGTTCGCCTTTCTCTGGTTTAGACAGTAATGGAGGACTTGACAAATACTTTTTCAAATATTTCAAAGCCTGCTAACATTCCGGAGTCCATTTGAAGTTGTTCTTCTTTTTGAGTAGTGAAAAGAAACGATGGAATTTCTCCGAAGACCAGGAAATGAATCTGCTCAAAGCGGCTAGGCTCCCTGTCAACCTTTGAACCTATTTAATGCTTGATACCTGGTCCGGGATGTCTTTGATTGCTTTAATTTTATAAAGGTTAACCTCGATCCCTCTTTGTGACACCAGGAATCCCAAGAACTTACTAGAACTGACCCCGAATGCATTTATTTTAAGGTTAAGCTTCATGTTGTGATTCCTTAAGATGTCAAAGGTTTCTTGCAGGTGCTTAAGATGATTACCTGCGTTCAAAGACTTAACCAGCATATCATCTATGTAAACTTCCATAGTTTTCACTACTTGTTTCTCAAACATTTTATTTACGAGCCGTCGATAAGTGGCTCTGGGGTCCTTTAGCCCGAAAGGCATCACATTATAACAATATCTGCCGAAGTTCGTTATGAACGAAGTTTTTTCCTGATCCTCTAGGTTCATCTTAATTTGATTGTACCCAGAGTAAGCATCGCAGAAACTCATTAACTCATGCTCGACCGTCGCATCAATCATTTGATCAATGTTTGGCAATGAGAATGAATCTTTTGGGCGACCTTGTTTAAATCCTTATAGTCTATGCACATACAAAATTTATTATTCTTTTTTGGAGATACTACTATGTTAGCTAGCCAGTTAGGATACTTTACCTCTCGGATTAAATTGATATCCAGCAATCGAATTACCTATTCTTTGACGAATTTGTTTCTGGCCTCGGCAATAGGGCATTTTTTCTGTCTTACCGGAGGGATGTTGGGATCCAAGCTTAGTTTGTGCACGGACACTTCCGACGGGATACCTGTCATATCCGCATGCGACCACGCAAATCAGTTAACATTAAATTTAAGAAATTCGATAAATCCAAACCTGAGCTCGGATTTAGTCTTTTCCCAAGTAGAACTTCCTCTCCAAGAATTTTTCGAACAACGTGACTTGCTCAAGTTCTTCTGTCGTGGATTTTGTTGCGTCTGTTTCTTCTGGTACCTGGAAATATCTTAGTACCTGATAGGATCCCGACGGCTCCTTCCCCTGGTTGACTTCACTCGTCTCGGGAGCAGGCGCCGGTTCCTGTAATTGCTATGTTGCATGCTCCTTCCCTTTGCTACTGGAAATCGATATTACATTCATCTCCCCTGCTGCCGGTTGATTTCCCCTTTACTATGGGTTACTAATACCTTAGTATTTTTTGCTGCCAAAAATGTAACACCATTAATCTCGTTCCCCCCAAAAATCATTTGATCGTCAAACGTGGAGGGTCTTCTCCTACTTTCAAAGGTCTCACATTATCACGATCACGACCGTATTTGTTTTTAGCCCGGTCATATAAAAATTCTCTGAGATGGCCATTTTTCAGCAATGTTGCTACCTCCTCGTGCAAATACCGACAGTCCCCAGTCCTGTGACCATTGGTTCCATGGTATTCGCACCATAAATTAGGATCCCTCTTACTGGGATCAGATCTCATTAGTTTCGGGAATCGTGCTTCTTTAATGTTCCTCATAGCCAACACCAGCACCACCACGCTGACGTTGAAGTTGTATTCGGAAAGCCTGGGGTAGGAGGAATCTCGAGAACCTGATATCTCCCTATCCTGCAATAACTTGTTATTCCGGCCGCTATCAGCTCTCCTATCGGTAGCGAATCTATCCGCTGACCGAAAACCTCTGCCGCGTCCTTCGGCCCTCTCATAAGGCAAAAATTGACCCTTGAAGACCGTCCATCTTTTTCGAAATAATCCTTTGATTTCTCCTTATTCTTTTCCTGGTCCCAGCCCCGGCCCCGGCCCCGGCCCTTGGTTGATGCCGGAAAACCGAGTTGATCATCTTCAATTCTTATCTTTGACTCGTAACGATTGTGAACATCCGCCCACATTGTTTCCTTGAACTCGAGCAGACTTTCTTTTAATTTTCGGGAAGCATCGGAACTTCTCGGATTCAACCATTTAGTAAATGCTTCAGCTGCCCACTCGTTTGGTACGGCCGGGAGCAGCATTCTTTCTTTCTGAAATCTTGTCACGAAATCCTATAGCAATTCAGACTCTCCTTGTGCAATCCTGAATATGTCGTCCTTTCGGGCCTGCACCTTCTTGTCCCCAACATGGGCCTTGATGAAAGAATCCGCGAGCATCTTGAATGAATCTATGGAGTTCTCGAGCAGAAGCGAATACCATGTCAGGACCCCCTTTGTAAGGGTCTCCCCGAATTTCTTCAGTAAGACTGAGTCAATCTCGTGCGGAGCTAAATCGTTTCCCTTCACCACCATTACATAAGTGGTGATATGCCCATGAGAATCTGAAGTCCCATCATATTTCGGCACGTCTGGTCGAGATCAACTCTGGTGTTTCGCTTGGTTTGAACGGCAATTGGGTGTACTTCTTTGAGCCCGATCCTTTTAATACAAGTGGTGCACCCGGAATCTAATCCATTCAGGCATTTATTTCCCTCATAAACCGCGTGAGTTCAATTTTAAAGGGATTATTTTCATTGTTATTACCAGAACCGCTACCGTTCCCTCGGCCCTATCAAAGCCGACTTCGCCCCTCTGCGTTGTTTGGTTTATGGGAGCACCGGGAGGAACTGGACCTCGTCCATTCGCATTGTTGGAAGCACCCAACAATGCCTGCCTCAACTTCGTCATGACCTGATCCTATCGTGAGAGGTGGCCCATAATGGCCTTTTGTTGCTCTATAAGGATCCTTACTATTTCAACGACATACTCGTCTTCAGCATCCTCAAGAGTTGCCTCTCGAACATGTCGGCGATACTGCCCGCCATGAACCGGTGTGGCCTCATTCCCCTCGTTGCGGGTATCAGTGATGGAATCTTTGTGCTGAGGCTGATTTCCTCGTTGTGTGCGATGTTGAAATTGTTATCTACCATTTTCTATAATTTTTGCTAAGAACAAGAATCAAATAGGTTAGTAATATATGCAAGGACCAACTCAATTACACGGCTATCTATTCCCCACGGTGGCCGCCAAACTATTTACCCATAAAACTGTACAATTGAATTTATACGTGGTTTATATAAAAGTGAATCGACTTGATCCTATAAAATGATAAACAAATTAGGCAAAAATATACGACTTAGCGTTGAAATCGAGATAAAATAATAGAAATCTTGATTCCGGGAGCAGGGCCTCCGGAGGCAGTAGTAATAGTATAAATAAGCAAGAAGATAAAATATTACTAAGCTTTGAATAGAGCATGGTATATGCTCGTCAGAAAATTCGTGTCTCTTACAATGGTTCTAGAGCTCACTATTTATAATTGCACCTAGAGAATAATGTCCTAGAATCAAGCCCCTATGACAATTATGAGGGTCACTGAAGAATGTGTAACGGTAGGCAGTGAATGACACATTTTCTGTAATGGGCCATATACTTAATGTTATAGAATATTCTCCATTAAATGCTACCGGGTGACAAGCATTTACTTCGCCTTTTTGAATACCGTTCTCTTCGGTAACAAACGAGATCGTTGCCTTCAAATCTGATTGTCTTTTGTCTTCAACTCCACGTATCGCTTTATCATGCGAGCATTTAATATGAACACATTTTATCTTATACAATACCTACCTCTAATTTCAACTCGTTGGAATCGTTAAAGAGTTAAATGTTACTGACTTTGAGACATTACATACTAATTAAAAAAAACTAACAACTGGCTACTATACTATCATTTATATAATACTTCTTTTCAGTTTTAGAAACAAAAATCCGTTCTAAATGAACTCTGATGTATCTTTGATATATAAACCCATAAATATACTAAAAAGATCGTTTTAGTTTGATGTCATTTGAGTCAACTGATCTTGTTTAAATTATTCTTCTCTAAGAGCTATGTAGGAACATGCACCAGATTTGTAATAGTTGACATGCATGTTACTAGATTTGTAATAGTCTATTCGTTTTGTTGATAACCCTTTAACTACATTAGCTTCAACTTACTGATTTACAATTGCTAAATAAAAATTAGGCATAATTTCAAAAGTAATTAAAATTTAGTTATTTTTTCATGTAAAAATAAAATCTAAACAAAAACACCCTTAAAAATTCAGAAAAATTCCAACATAATATGCTGGAGTTTGAATTTTTACATATGAATTCCAGCATAATATGCTGTAATTTCATAATGTTACGGAGTTCCAACGTAACATGCTGGAAGTTTATATGCATAAACTCCATAATCTAGCATATTATGCTCGAACTTTCTATGTTTCAACTAAGATATTTTTGTCCAAATTTTATTACTGTACAAAAATAGTGGTTATTTTTTATTGATTTTATAAATGCTGGCTATTTTCAATTACCGATGAAAAAACTAGTTAGCTCATGCTATTTTGACTTCAACTTATTAAGTATGTATATTTTATGGTTTAAGATTATGACTAGAACCATAAAATTTTAGAACTTTCTCCTTTTGAAAAAGGAAAAAAAAAAAATTGTCCTTCCAATCTTAAGTCCCTTGAAAAGCGGGTCCAAACAATCCTCTCGACTCTCGTAGTCCTTTTCTTACTTCCCCATAATTTGGACTTCTCTTTTCATGCTTCTCTGATCTTTCTGTTTCTTCGCAATAACCAATTAAAATCATATACTCCATGTATATGATATATCTTTACATTTAATTTAAAAATAAACTCCAAATCAGTTCAAATCTCAGGCGCTCAGCTACCAAACAGTCTCTGTTGCTGGTCTATTTTGATTTGTTTTATCTATATTCCAAATAGAAACTTGGGTGTCTAATTTTATCTTAATCCTTGAATTTTTTGTATTTTTGGTGGATTTTCTTGGTGGGATTTCAGTGATTTTGATCCATATTCAAAAACGAAGAAACTTGGTGTCTAGTTTGATTTAAATCTCGAATTTTTCGCTGTATTTTTTGTTGGGGTTCGATTGATTTTGATTTATATTTTTAAAGGAAAAAATTGGATGTGTTTTTCCATTTAAATTATTGATTTTTTTGGATATTATTTGTGGGTTTTGATTTAGTGACAATTCAAGAACTTTTTCTTGGTGGGGTTTGATTAAAAAGCTTGGTTTTATAAATCCAAATGAATGAGGAATAGGGTGGCACGTACCCACTCACGTTCATCATCATTGCCGGCATCATTGTTGTTGTCATCAATGGCTGCACCAAGGGGTTTGGTAGTGGACACAACAAGGGATGAGGAAATGGACTTGGGATTGTTGTCCGAATCGCCCACGGGTAAAAGGTATAAGGAAGGGAAGTTTCCATTGTCAAGGTGGGAGTTTGCAGCAGCTATAGCTGTATTTGTGGTGTTCTCAATAGGGTTGTTTAGTATATACTTGACAATGCCAGCTGCTGAGTATGGTAAACTCAAGTTGCCTCGTTCGCTTTCTGATCTCCGAATGCTCAAGTAGGCCATTGTGTTTGCTTTTATGTTCCTTTCCTGCATTTGTTTTGTATAGTTGCTGCTGTAACGCATTTGCATCCCATAATTACATTACTTTTGTTGCAATGTTGAGGTTAAACCTTGATAAGTTTGCTACTGTTTAACTTTACCTGTTAAATGGTTTTTGTTGGAACTGTCATAAATATTTTAGTGTGAGATTCTTGCGGAATCTGAGCTTGTTGCTCCAAGCATTACCAAATACCTATCCGTTTGGAATTCAGCTGCTTATGTTGTGTATAATGTTTACAATTACAAAGAGTCTTTCAGACTAGTATTATTAGTAATCAACTCTATAGCTTCTGATGAACAACAACAACAAACCCAGTGAATCCCACAAGTGGGGTCTGGAGAAGGTAGGATGTATGCAGCCTTCCCCCTACCCTGGGAGGGCATAGAGGCCTATAGCTTCTGTTGAAAGGAAAAAAAAACTCTATAGCTTCTTCAATTAACACTAGTTTTTAATTCAAGTTTAATTGACTTTCTACTAGATCGATGTCAAATTTGAAGAGACCTAGTAGCTTGTGGTGTTAAGGTGCAAGCATATCCGTGGCCAATAAGCTCCTCTACTCTTCAGGTGCTTTTATTTGCCCAATCCTTCAAGGGTGCAAGGTGCAAGTCTGCTGAGCCTGCCACTTAGTGGTTCTTGTAATCAATTCTATAACTTTGCAAGGAACACTGTTCATTTGATGTATAAGACAAAAGCATCGATTCTTCTTTCAGTCTCTAACTACTAACTATCAAATCCTTAAAACTTTGACCTCCTTAAAGGTTACATTTTCCTTAGATCAGTTAATGGTTGGGTGCCAGGATAGGACTCTTAGAAGCTAGAGCATGAAAGGTTGAGGTGGTGTTATTATTCTTCATCTACTGCCAAATAAGTTGAAGGTAGGTGAAAGATGGTATATAGAGCAATTGTGTGTAGGAAGCTCCCGTCAAACAAATAAATGGGTCATATCACCAACCAATTTCCTGACTTCCAAGAATTCCTTACGCAAGTACTATTATCTATTGCATGGCTATCTTGCCAAATCAATGTTTAAGGAATCATTAAATTGAGCATATACTATGTGATCCCTCAATTAGTTACGGAACAACTAAACTGATACACAAAGTTATGAGAGTAAAAGCATAATTGTATATAAGGAAGTTTAGGTGTGATTTTACCTTCATAAACTAATTTTGCACGACTGTGTGTGATTAATGCTCCAATTTCTAGTTAAGCAGCAGAATGCATTAACATTTATGTTTTAATAAACCATTATTGGGTATACAAGGAATAAGTAACGCAACCAGTAATATGGAGTAAAAGGCTTGACAAAAGTTGGGCTCTTTGAATGTGGAAATATGATGCAATTAACTAATGGCTTAGTTTTACTTTTCCAATTCAACCTCTATGTACTGGTGAGCCTTCATGTCCTTTTCAAAATGTGATTAAAGCTTTGGACATCAGAATGATGTTGAATTTGGTATATATGAGGGAAGAGTGGGTTGATCATGACTGATTGGTCAATGGAGAGGTTGTTACCATCTCAAAAAAAAAGTGCGCGAAGGTGAGGAAACTTCCTAGTTTCTTTTGTGACATTGACGGTATAAAATCATTAATCAGTAATGCTTTCTTTTTGTTAGTTAGTTTTCATAACAAACAAATGCCAACGCCTTTTTCTTTTGAAAAATTTGGACCTGTCAGAAAATGGTTTGGAGGCAAAAAAAAAATATCAGATAACCTTTATATTTTCACACAATTTCCAAGAAAGCAAAAAGAGCAAGTTATAAAAAATGAACAAGCTGGTTTTTGAAGAGCTTTAGTAATATCTATTTGCGAATTGTGCTTGCGAGCATGACTTTTTGCTAGGTTCTTGCAAAAATATCTAGATCAGAAATGCAGTAGCAGTCATCTTGCTAGAGTTCAGCATTCACGAATTCTGGTTGTAGTAATGCTTCTTAATTACTATATTTTCATGTATATTCCGTTACCAAGTGTTATTTATGGTTTTCTTTTGACTTGATGTTTTATGATGATATTTTATCTCTTGTTTTCTGATGTGTCTTGTTTCCCTTTCTAGTAATTATTTAGTATTGTTCTTTCATGACTCATTTATCTTATTTGTTTCCTTCAGGGATAATATTGGAATGTATGCCCAAGTTTACCCAGCAAAATTCATTTTGGGTTACTGCTCAACATACATATTCATGCAGACATTTATGATTCCTGGGACGATTTTCATGTCCTTACTTGCTGGAGCACTTTTTGGTGTTCTCAGAGGGCTTTTCTTGGTTGTCTTTAACGCTACAGCCGGTGCATCATCCTGCTATTTTCTGTCTAAGTTAATTGGCAGGCCTATAGTTAACTGGTTGTGGCCTGAGAAATTGAGATTTTTCCAAGCAGAGGTCTGTGCTCTTCTGAAACTGATTATTGGTGCTGCTGATCTAAAAAATTTCATGGTATCTTTGTTTCTTGCACTTACAAATGTGAAACTTGTGGTTTCAGATAGCCAAGCGTCGGGATAAGTTGCTCAACTATATGCTGTTTTTGAGAATAACTCCAACATTGCCAAACCTTTTCATCAATTTGGCATCTCCTATTGTGGATATACCATTCCATACATTCTTCACGGCCACATTGGTTGGTCTCATTCCAGCCTCATATATTACAGTCAAGGTAAATCATTCTTCAGCTGGTGGTGGCTTCTTTCTGTCATGCTTTTCTGTATTTGCTGTCCAATTTATTTTCTGGAACCGATGCCTGGTAATCCGTCTATAAGAACTGCTCTTTTGTTATTCTTAAATTTACTAGCTTCTTTTGTCTAATAACATCGGTCATTTATAAAAGAATATTCTTTTATAAATACAAGAACCTGAACCTTTTTCTCTATGTGTATGGTAAAGCAGCACTAGGATGCGCTGCTTGACACTAACATTTATTTTGCAATTGTCATTTGTAAAGCTCATTAGTTTGTTACTTTCCGTAAAAAGACGGGGAAAGCTGTACTAGATGTATAAATTAAGAAAAAAGAGCATATTATCTGAAACTTAGTTAAAATCATGTGAGCGATGGCCCACTGCATATTATCTTAGATTGTCCAAGTGAATATCATGGCAATATCTCTCTTCGACATTGTCTATGAAGCTTAAGAGGTTATTGTTTGTGTAAACCTAATTCCTACCCAATGCAGCATGTGTTTCTCAACCACCTGCTCCAATTCAGCCTCGGACATGGCTTGAGGCATAGCTGATGCATTTTGGTTGAGTCTTACAATGCTAAAGTAGCTTGCTATACGTGATTATCTGTGATATTTTCGTGCTTTAACTTGTCAGGCGGGTCTAGCTCTTGGTGATCTGAAGTCAGTCAAGGATCTATATGATTTCAAGACCTTGTCTGTGCTCTTCCTCATTGGTTTTATCTCAATAATACCTACCATCTTGAAGAGGAAGAAAATATACGAATAGAGCTCCTCGCAGAAGGCCATTGGATCCTCTTGGAAAGCAACTTAGAGAAGATATAGTTTCTTTTATTGTCAGAGCAAATTGGAGAGGCAGGACTTAGTGACAGGCCGATAATTTCTATATGGCACCTGAAATCACACTGAAATCACTGCCCAATCCTTTGGGAGAATAGTGGAAAATGTTGTGTTCTTTGCCAATTCTTTATGTTTACTCTTTCATTCATTGCCTGACCCGAAGTGACTGGTAGTATTGTTTAATGTAATTCAAATGTGGCAGGCAGATATTGATTTGGTTTCTGATTCAAAAATTGTTCTTATAGTCATCTCACTGTTGAAGAAATAAATTATTTTATGGTCATCTCAACTGCCATGTTATGGAAATGCAACAATGTGATAAATTATGGTGGAATTTCGTTGAGCAAATATGGTTAAATGTTGTTAGAATGCGCACGGCTAGCAAAACATGGTAAATGGTTAAGAAGTAATGATACGCCAAAGAAATGAGTACATTAACTCCAACCTCTAGTTTTTTAATCTCCCATTGTCTATAAAGTTGGGAGCAATGGAGATCAAATTTCTCTATAGTTTCATTTTACTTTAAATTATTTTTGTTGTTAGCTTCAGCTATTTTCTGAAAATTAATTCCCTCAGTCTACGGAGAAGCTCTAAGTTTAACAATCTCTTAACCTCAAATTCACATATAAATGCCATGACATGTAGATAGTACTTGAGAAGAAGATAAAGAGGTCAATTCACTTAAAGTGAGTGTGAAGAATAATTGGTAGAACTCAATCAAAAAAAGATCTCTTCAATGCGCAAACTCGAATACATTGCCCAACGAAATGATACATGGAAAGAAGGAAATTGGATGGGAATTACAACAAAAGATGAAGTTCAATGCACCTTCGAAAATTAATTTCCGCCATTGCTTCCCCAGTCTATACAAAACTACAATCACCTTGGAAGGCACTATTAGCAGATGTTGAGAAAACAGTAAATTGGAATGTTTTCTTTAGCCTTAAAATCACTTGGCAGCTTCTAAGTCTGCTAGAGTGACTGCTGGTGAGTCTTGATAACCAGTAATTCCCATTATTCTTATCCGAGTAATCGGCTGCATCATTAACACAAATCAGATTAATTAGGAACAGGCAAGGACAAGATATGGTATTCTGTATAAATATCATTTTAAGAGGGCATGTCTCATGCAATGGCCGCAAGCTAATTAATTTAGAAATTTTTCATGTTGCTGGGGAACTAAACATAGATAATATATGATACACCATGGTGAAAATTGTTTAGGCAACCAAGTAGGTTAAAAAAAACATCAATCTACTCTAGAGTTATTTGGATATCAATAAAAACAGTTCTTTCATACCTGTCTGTGACCAATGTTCCTTCTGTAGTTCTTTTTCTTCTTATACTTGAACACAACAACCTTCTTATCTTTCAACTGTGTGGAAATATAATATTGAGTCAAAAGAGATGTTAGGTAAACAAGGTATACACAGCGGAAACTAAAGCAGTGGAAGAATGATGTCTGACCTGCTCTTCAACAACAGCGTGGACTGCTGCATTTTGCACTACTGGTTTTCCAACCCAAGTACTTGTTTTTGTTCCCACTAGTAACACCTTGTTTAGGATGATCTGCAGAAGTTATCAAGTATAGATGTTTCAAACAAAAATCCTTAGTCATGGAATCTTGAACTAGAGTATTGCCAATATGCCCAGAGTAATCTTGACATAGATAAAATACTAAACTGACGAATAGTTCCTCTATTTTCAACTCCAGAGTAGCAAAAATATGCAATGAGCATCCTCCTAACTCCTCATATTACCCTTATATCAAGTGTTAGTTTCCGCATAAAATAATTGTCAAATAGATGTATCAAAGACTATAGGCTGATGAGATGCAAATGTAAATGTTGGTTGACATTGATGCGTTTCAACATTATGGTTTGCATAATGGATTACTGGAAATGTGTTAACTACATGAATAACAGAGTTCTCCTCCATTGCTTGGCTGGTACGAGGCTTCAAACACTTTACTTTGAGTGAGCTGTCTTTGTATAAGCTACATTCTTTTTTCACAGAATTTGATGCCAGTGATAGGACGAGTGTTGTCAAGAAGTCTAGATTACACATGTCCACATTCATTTGACAAACCTTTTTAAAATTGTTACTCCGGCGAGCATGTTTCACAATCTCACCTTTTTTACAATTCAGTTGTTTTCCTAGTACAGCCTTGAACATACATCAACTATGCTTTGACAATCCCACAAACGATGTACAAGCTTCTTTTTTTCCCTTAAAGAAAAGTTTGTACCTAGTTTGGGTGGAAAAGAAAGAAAAGAAAAGGAGAAATGTTTTTAATTAAGTGGTTTTCCTAGTACAGCCTTGAAAAGACATTACCACTGTTTTGACAATCCCACACTGAGCTTGTACATAGTTTGGGTGGAAAAGAAAAGAGAAATGTAATATAGAAAGTATTTCTTCCATTTCTTGGTTCCAAACGAAAATGGAAAACAAGCTAAGTGCAAGGAAACTGTTTTTCCTTGGAGCCACAGATACTTTGGACCAGGAAAGTAAATTACCTTCCTGTTCCAGTTTTATGGAACCTAACTGGTAAATGACTTCTCTTCCTTCCTCAACTTCTCCCTTTACATTATCTTTTGCAAAGCATGCACTATCAACAAAACGCTTTAAAGATGTAAATGGATCTCAAGATTTATTTTCCTTTGTTAAATCAAATCTTCCAAATGAACTTCACGGTCTTCATTGGTCCAATATGCAGAGAGAAACTAATGCCAAGTACTGTAAAAGTGTCGCAAACGAGCATTATTTCGAGAAAATGCTGCAGGCAAGCTCTGTTTAATTGTACACCAAAGGTTGCTATGAGATAGGGAGATCAAAGAAAGAAAGCACATAAGTAAAGCCAAGGCCATAGAGGAGTAACAAGATTTTAGAAGCTAAAAGGAAATAAGTTGTAAATCAAGACAAGACCAAAAAGTATTCCCACCTTGTCATTGACATTTGCACCTTTAAGTCTCTGGGTGTAGATATACCGCCCAGGAAAGACGATATATTGCCGAGATCCGATCTATAAATAATGAGAGAGGAAAAATTAACAAGCTGCTTAATGTATCAGGGACAAGCCCAATTAAGTTATTGTAGGGTAGTATGATGTTCATTTAAAAAGCAAGAGAAAACAAAATAAAACATGAAGAAGGATGACAGCTAGAAGACTTGAAAATCATCAAATTTAGCAGCTCCTAGCACTAGCAAGAGAGTGTATGTTCCACAAAGAGAAGAAATTATACATCAAATAAGTAGTCGTATGAATGTTTTCTCCAGTTAATTATAGCAGTTCACAAGTAAAAAGATAAAAGTTCACAATATGGTAACCTTGAAATCAAACTTAATCCAACAATTACAAGACTTGTACATAAACATACATGCGGACTTGCACCACAGATTTGCATACTTGAATAGATATGTATACCCTCTGACGAGTGATTAAAACTTAATTTTAGTACTAGGTTATAGTTATATATATATGTTTTTTATAAGTATAGGTTATAGTTATATCACTTACAATCTGCAATATGAACCCCTTTAGGACTAAACTACAGGAAATACCTACCACAATAGATGGTCCACTTTGAAAAAGAAATTATACTTTAAACAAAAAAAAGCATAGACTGAGATTTATGAAATTGGATAGTGTCCATAACACGGCATACAGGATATACCAAGTACTAAATCTCTGTCATGTCTTCAGCGTAACTACAGTTTTTCCCGTTAAAAAACCTACCCAACTCCACTGCGGAGAATACCAAGGATGCAAAAGGTTAGTTCAGCTTATTTAGCATGGACTATGCCAAAATTGCGTGTAGCAGCATAACTGCCAACTCCACATAACACAAACACTTAGATATGTATATTGTTTCTTTAAGATACCCTAAAAGAAAATGCTAAACCTAAGATTGGCTGAAATGGCATAGACGTATCAATAACAGAAACGAAGCAGTTCCATTTTAACACTCCATGTTATCACAATATACACCGTAAGGCAGCATCGATGTCTCAATAGTACTTAAGCAAACATAGAATTTGAACAAAGTACATTCAGTCTAAGGAATATTCTTTCATGAAAAATGTTCTCAACCGGAAATATTTTACCTTGGAAAATCTTTCTTTTTTGGTTAACATTTTCTAGCATTTGATGGGACATGCAAGGTGTAGCATATGGTATGAAATTCTGCTTTTTGTGATATTTTTCAGTGTTAAAAGTTGACAACATGTCAATCTTGAACCAAAGTTGTAGTTTTTATATAGGAAAATGACTTCCGCCCATAAGTAACAAAATCATCATCCCTTTTTTAGAACACCTTAAACAATTCAAGGTAACCAAACACTCAATTTTTCATCTGAGAAATAAAAGTTCCTCATTTAATTTGAAATTAAATCCAGATTTCACTCCCAAAAGTGAATTCAAAACAGACAGAAACGTATACGAAAAATATGCATAAGAAGGAAAGTGAATCACCATAACAACAGCAAACACTTCTTCTCGCTTTGGTTCCAAGCTGGAGGAGGAGGCTTCAACAACTGGGGCAATTACAGGCTCTTCTGATTCAGCTACAACTTCAGCAACTGAAGCTTCAGATTCTGAGAATTTGGGCACAAAAGAATTGGGTTTAGAGGAACGGAGACTGAGAGCAGAAAGTGAATGAGAGAGAAATGTAACATTGGAATTTGCTTTAGAAACGGAAAGGGTGTTGAGAAAAGTTTGGTTCTTGGATAGTACTGTTGTTGAGGGCGAACAACACAGTGAAAGGGTAGCCATTGTTGGAGATGAAGAGAGGTTTTCTTGGTATTCTGTGAGTGTGTCTCAATTTTATCTATGAAAAGCCTATCCTATCTCCAGTGCAGCAGTTGTTTTCAAATGACAATTTTACCCTTGAACTCTTCTAATTTTTATTTATTTATTTATTTATTTTGGTGTGGGAAAAATAGATTTAAATGGTACTATATAAATTTGAATATGTGCATATTAATATTCTTTTTTTCGTATTTACATTAATGTTTGAAATTATGAAATTCTTAAATCTTAATCATATAGTAACGATCATTTACACACTTGAAGCCTATCATATTCGAATTTTGACTTGAGGTTAATTATGTGAGTGCCACATCTGGTTTTGCAAGTACACATACCTCACATTTGATTGCAATTGCTCGATATTTGAACTTAGGTAATGACAAAATATAATATAAGTGAAAAGGATATAATGTTATTGTTGCAATTACCTTTAGATTTGGTGTTTGATTTTGTTTTTAAAATTTGAGTAAAGACTTGTATATTAGTAGCGATAAGTGTGTGATTTAAAAGATCTCAAGTTTTAAAAAATATAAATTGTCTGAAAATTTAACTCGTTCAGCGTTAGAATAAATAAAAACAAACAATATGGAAGGAGTATAAAGGATCATATAATCTGTGTAACTAGTTTAAATTTGGCATATAGACAATTGATTGATATGTACTCTACAGTCACATACCCACATTCAACTCCTAAATTTACATCTATCTTTTTCTTTCCTTTCTTTTTCTTTTTTTGCTTTGGCTCTTTTTATTTTGGAACTAACCTTCTTAATTAAGAGTATATTTCTCTTTTGTTAATTGTATTCCATTTTCTTTATTCTTTTCCAGTTAATTTTGCTTCTCTTCAAAAATAACGGGAAATGTCCTGATACAGAAATGAAAGAACAAATGCAGTTATAATAAAAACAAACTAAAAAATAAAATAAAAAAGGTAAATAGTTTGAACTACCTTAAGGGAAAAAAAAATATTCTCATTGTTAGTGAAACAAAAAAGAATTGATGTCATTTGTTATGATAAATGTATGGGTCAGAATCCGACCCCACGATAATTAACGAAATTAATCCCGTCTTAAGCTAATTCATGATTAATTAGTGGTACGACCACTCAGAATTAACGGTATTCAACCTTTATCTGATTCGATCAACAAGGCCACGGCCCATCCGTCATCATGAAGGCAAAACCCCAACGTGGTCACGGCCACTTATTGCCAGCTCACGAATCTCACAGCTATAAATACCAAGAGAGGGAATCATATTGGGGGGGGGGGGGGGCGTTCTTCTTAACTATTGTAGAGGAG